GAAGGGAGAAAAATCTCCTGGGGGAAAAACAGTAGAGACTAATAAACTACAGGCTGCAACTGCACTTCATAATATTCTTTTTTTTTAAAAAAACCTATAATATACTGGTATTTGCAATACCTAATAATTTCTTGTACACCTGCCAATGCAAAAAAAATTGCAAATAGCAATTAAAGTACGTGGCATGAAGACTATCAATATGAATGTGATTTCTGTCAAATGTAAGTAAGAAATCACAAATATAGCTACATGCTATATTTTCAAAGGTGTTAATTCTGTTTTTCTTCTAGAAGGCATTATGCCTGTTTTTGCATTTTTTTTCTTTTTTGTCTTTTCATTGGACAGCAGTCAAGCTGTCATGCTCATTATTCTAATTGCCAGAATTAGAACCCCTTATTTAGAATCTTAGACTCAACATTAGTAGGGATCTAACTGATCATCTAGTAGTAGAAAATTCTGTCCCCAATTATCACACTACCCATTCAACTTTGAATAACTTTTATTATGATTCAATAGATTTCCTTAAAGCTAGCCAAAATGTATTTTCTTTTAATTTAAACCCATTGGTTTTGACCAGTCTTCTGAAGAAGCAGAACAGTTCTGCTCCTTCTATATAACAGCCTTTCAAGTTCATGAAAGCAGCTGTCATCTTCCCTCATTGATCTGTATTTTCCTGGCTAAACGTGACCAACATCTCCCACTATTTCTCTTCTCTTTTTTAAACTTCTTACAGGCCTTGTATCATCTTTGTAGATTTCCTCAGGACACATTCCATTTTGTCAATATCTTCTCTAAAATATGGTGTCCCAAACTTTATGCTCTCTGACAAATACAAACTAGAAAAAGGCAATGATTTATCTGGACACTGAATTTATTTTGATGGAGATTAAAACTGCACTGACTTTTCTTTTCAGCCCCATCTCACTATTCACATGTTCAATTTGTAATTTACCATAGTATCCAGATTGTTTTAATGTACATACTGCTATCCACGTCTATTTTCATGTCTTTAATTTTTCTTACCCAAACACTGCATATGATTAATTTAATTTTATAATTAGAGGCTATACAACTCGACAAGACTTTGAGCATCTTATAATTTTAAAAGCAAGAAAAATAAAAAGCAAAAGCCATAGGTATTCAGATAAACAATCCATAACCAAAGATAAATGCCACTCCCTATTTTCAGTGGCCTTCTGAACATTATCAGTGTGGGAGCCATATACATTTCTGGGGAAGTGTTCTTCCAGAGGACAGGCACAACAAAAGATATTCTTTCTAAGTTCCACAAAATTAGATTGTTTAATTGAAGGGACTAGAAATGTGCCCACTATGCCCAATTTTACGTGATGAGCAGAAGCTATTGGAGACTGATAGTTCTTCAAATAATTAAGCTCTACAGCATAAAGAGCTTTATAAGTAATAACTGTTTGCACCCAGAAGCCAACTGATGATAACGGTGCATAGTGATGGTGTCACATAATGTAGCAATCCTGTTATTGTTAAGCCACTGCATTCCAAACCAGTTGTGTAGTCTTCAAGGGTATGCTATGTTAACTACATTGCAGTGAGTGACACTCTTAAGTGAAAAATGTTAACCCAACCAAGACTAAGGCGGAAAGTGTCCAGGAACTGTTATCTCAAATACCCACAGTCACAGTCTTTTCAGGATTGAGCTTGAATTTGTTCCTTTCTGTCCACACCAAGACAGCCTGCAGAGCAGTGGTGGGATTCAAATATTTTTATTACCAGTTCTGTGTGCGTGGCTTGGTGGGTGTGGCAGAGGAAGGATACTGTAAAATCTTTATTCCCTCCCCACTCCAGGGGAAGGATCAGTTGGGATTCGGGAGGCAGAGAATAGATGGGGGGGGGGCAGTCAGAGGTGGTATTTACCGGTTCTCCAAACTACTCAAAATTTCTACCAGTTCTCCAGAACTCCAGAAATTGCTGAATACCACCTCTGCTGCAGACACTGAGAGAGAGCACTGACCTATCACTTTGCTTGCAGCCAGGATGTACAGTTGTGAGTCATCAGCTTATTGATGATTTATTGAACCCCAAACCAATGATGTCAACCTTGCAAGCTAGGCTAGTTCTAGTAGCATATGCCACAAGAATCCTGGAACCCTACTTCATTGTTGCATGGCATAATAATAGAATCTTGAAGATCTGGTAGAGCTTCCTTCTGGCTCCTTTGATATAGTATATTGAAACAAGGAGGGGTTATTCTCATACTGCCCTCTAGGATGTTTTCTATTTCATAAATGTTTGCAAATCATTTATAAATATACTGAACAACACAGGGCTGAGAATAGAGGGTTGTAGTGTGCCACTCAATAATTCCCACCATATTGACATGATGTATACGAATACATCTAATGGTAACATAGTCCAGTCCACATTTTCTCATCTTCTATACTATAATTTCATAAGACACTTGTCAATTACTTTGCTAAACATGAGGTACATTCCTGCTGCTACATTCTTCTGGCCAATTAAATTGATCACTATCAAAAAGGAGATCAATGTGGTCCCCTTTTCTACTCTATTCTTGATAAATTAATGCTGGGTTTTGCCAATGGATTTCCAATGAACCCTTTTCTAATTGCTCACAAACCAACCACTTTAATAATCTGTTCCAAGTTTAGTCCAGTATCAATATTAAGCTTACTGTTCTGTTTGTATCTAGTTTGTATCTTTTTTCTTCCATTTTAATAATAGGAACATTTATCCTTCTCCACATCCCTAGGGAACTCAACCCAACCTCAGTGATTTCTCAAACAAAATTGAAATTCTGATCAACATGGCCTCAATGCTTCAGTCTTCTGATTTTAGTAGACAATTCAGATAGACAGCCCATGTAGTCTAGTAGTTATGACACAAGGTTAGAAAGTGGGAGTCCGTCAGTGCATCCCACCTTAACCATGAAAGCCAACTTGGTGACTTTGGGCTGGTCACTCTCTGACCCCAGCCCTCCTCAGAGAGTTGTTCTGGAGAAAATAAGAGGAGAAAGATGTGTTGGATATGTTCGTCACCCTGAGCTATTTGTAAAAATAATATAGGCAGGAAACAAATAACAATAAATAAGTGATATGATTTTTCAGTTTTCTTTTATAGGAAACATTTTGTTGTTCTTCACAGAAGACAAATGCACACAATATTAAGAAAATGGGAAGATCAATTTTTAAATTTTCTTTTTGCCTAGATTTGAAGGAAGCAATTTTTAATTCAGGAGGTGCAGCCATTTGAGGTAGTCATTATATAAAACATTTTGCTCCTCATAGCATTTTTAAGTCAGCAGAAGTGAAGACTGTTCACATGGCTTTGAGAGATTAGAAGTATAAATGTGCTAATGTGGAACTATAAATTCTTTCATGATAGGAAAATACTCCTGCCTCGATCTTTTGTAATAATCTTCTGCTGGAAGTAAATGCTCATTTGTGATTGTACTGTAACACCTGGCAACTGTAATTTATCCTCAGTTAGTTTAACTCATCCCAATATTTTCTATGCAAAATCCTTGTCAGTCACTAGTACAAAAAGACTGTAGAGATTCTCAGCCATCCAGGTCATGGTTGACCTGGTGCTTTTTCAGGAGGCAGCTGGACTTTCTTGGATTTTTTGAAGATATTTCGCTTTTCATCGAAGAAGGTTCTTCAGCTCTGACAGGAATAGTGGGGAATAGAAAGATTTATATTCCTTGCAGACAGCTGGTCATTTGCATCCTTTTAATGGGTCAGTGAAACACTTGGAGGTTTATCTGTGTCCTCAGGGCTCCTGGTTCCTGTAGTCTGCAAGTTTTCTCTGGAAATCCATTCTTACTCCCACAACATTCCAAGGGTGTTCATCCCAAATTGTATAGCTAAAAGCCTGTAGAGATTCTCAGCCATCCAGGTCGTGGAATATAAATTTTTCCATTCCCCACTTTCCTGTCAGAGCTGAAGAAGCTTCTTGGATGAGTAGCGAAACGTCTTCAAAGAAAAAAACAAGAAAGTCCAGTTGCCTCCTGAAAAAAGCAGTTTTGGGATAGTACAAAAAAAGGCATTTCACCATTTTTTCCTATCTATACAAGGGATGGGTTCCGCTAAAGCTTTCTTCTGCATCGACTCCCTATTCTTTTAGCGGTTATTTCATAAATTCATTAGCTTGAAACAGCATAGTTAAAATAAAATAAAGAGTTGGGGAACTTTACCAGCTAACAACGGAAAGACTCCTACCCCTTTCCCTTAGCGGCGCATTCAAACCCATATTTTTCCCTAGGAAAGGGCAGATCGGCGAACAGCCGCCTCCAACTCCTCTTTGCTTGCTCGGTTCTTCGGGTGACCCTGAGAAACCAAGTCTTCTTGCAGACTTCCAGGGCAGGACAGCACCAATGAGTAACTGTCAGAGGCTGCCACAATAATCTCTTACCTAACACGCTGTTACAAGTCCCCAGCTAGGCACTACTCTCTGTCCCCACCGCCGCATCACGTAGTAAATAAGGGGCAACTTCTCCCAACCGAACACATTGGACGCATTAAGCTTTCTTTCTTGCCCCCACACACAAATTGAAGTGAGGACTTAGCCCCCCTAAGGTGCCGATCTGCTGCTACAGCTCTCCACCCCCTCAGACAGCCCTGTGACGCATGGGGAAGTTACCCCAGTAATTACGGCTCAAATTAAAAAACAAAACATAAGGGTGCTTAATGTTGAAGTCGACTTGAATTAAAGTCAAGGTACAAGTAAACAAATCCCCGAATTAAGCTGTGAATCCATTTTATTTTATTTTGCAGGAAAGAAAGCGGACGACGAGACAACCGCACACACCGCGACATAAAAAAAAAAAAGCACAGTTTCATGTGACGCATGCGTCGTTCCCGAGGTTGATTCATGACAGAGACGGATAACTGTGGCTTCTGATTGAGCAGCGAGCGGGTCACGTGGGCTGTTTCCGGCGCATAAACCTCGCCTTGCCGTAATCGCACGCAACGCCTGGCGTAAATTGAGCCTGTGACGGCCTGGAGGAGGAGGCGGCTCGTTTCCTATTTCCGGTAGAGGGGGTGGAGGCGCTTTCTGAGGCTGGTGATGGGGTCTTTCTCTTCCTCCTCCTCCAAGTGCGAGAGAGGGACTGTGCACGGAAAGGCGTCTGGGCAGGGTGGACCACCTCTGCTTTGTAACTTTTGAGTAAATCGGCTCCTAAGGCAGTAGAACAGAATGGGAAAGGAGGCGATGTTCTAATAATCTTCGATTCACGGGTCTTGTTGAGAGTCTCCTCCGGTTCGGTATAAGCTCGGTCTCGTTACTCAGTCGCCCAGAAATCATAACGTCTAAGATTACTGCATATTCTCTTATAATTCAATTATTGCAGATCACTCTGTTCTCCTACTGACCTTACCGCTTCCCTCTTTTTTTGTGCCCTCCAGGTGAGTTAGCATCTAATGAATTTGAAGGGCCTCAAGCTCGGGAGAACTTTTTTGTTTTTTGTTAATGTTTGCAACTGCCCAAAGGACAGAGGTGGCTCATACACACTTGAAATAATTAGTTTTTTTGATTAATGATTTAATAGTCATTAAAGTATTAAAATAGTTCTTCTATTTTCCTTTCTCCCAAATTTGGTTAAATAGGAAAAGTCTGGTTAAATACAGCTTTGGATTCTGAAGTTAGTTGAAACAAACAGATTCAGCAGCCATAGCATAGTTGCTTGGACTTTTTAAAAAAAAAATCTGCATCTTTTAACTTACGTTTAGCAGTAGATTGTTGAAAAGTATTTGTATAATAAATATTGAAGAAAATATATTTTTGAATAATTTAAAGTGTGAAAATACATGGGGATAGGAGTTAACTGCTTCTGTTGTTTAATTACTTAACTTTTCACCCCAACACAATACCTTTTAATTGAAACAAAGGAGGGAGTGATCCTATTACATCCTATATTTGGACTTAGCCCTTTTTTCATCTTTAATGGTGATACTGCAAAAGATTGATCTATTTTCTTCCATAAATCATAAAAGAATCCCTTAATGGTTCCTTGTATACCTTGTAAACTTTTGTAAAAGTTTTATTCAGCATATTTTCTGTAGGTCTGTAGATTATAGTAGATCTGTTCAGCAGACATTTTTATGTTCTTTTACCATATCTTCTAGCTATTTATTTCCCAGAATTCCTTTATGGAATTTTTAACTAGAGTTTGGTATTTCTAATCTAAACTACTGTACTAAAGTTATGCATTTGCATGATTACCCTCATACAATGATAACATGACATTTTTAAATGATGGAAAGGTTTTTTGGTCATATTCTCTTATGTCCAGTTAAATTCCATGAATCTGCAAAACGCTTTTGTGTATCTCACCTTGTTTATGGACAGAAGAAATTTCTGCTGAATTAATATACTTCCAATGTGTAAATAAGAACATTTAGGGTGGTTAATACTCTAGATCAGTGGTTCTCAACCTGCGGGTCGGGACCCCTATGGGGGTCAAACGACCCTTTCACAGGGGTCGCCTAAGACCATTGGAAAACACATATTTTTGAAAAAATACAGAAAACAAAAAATAATTTTATGGTTGCGGATCACCACAACATTAGGAAGGGTCGCGGCATTAGGAAGGTTGAGAGCCACTGCTCTAGATGCTTTGTCTTATTTTTTTGATAATTTATTTTGATAATTTCTATTTTATCCAAATACAATAGAATTAGATTAATTTTAACTGGTTTATTAAAGACACGCCCATTGCAAAACAAGGGTTATGAAATTGATATGGTTCAAGGAATAAGAATTAAGAAACAGTTTCCTGTTGTGTTATAGTGCTAACCTATGATTGATCAAAAATAGTGAAAAGGGGAGGGGATACTATGGGGAAATCTCTGTAGCTCATATCACAAACCATAGTTTATATGGTGCTTTAAATCAAGGGTGAAAAACTGGTTGGCCTTTTAAAATATCTGTGGCCTCTGGAAAAATGTATGTATTTTTAGCATTATAAGGGGCTTGAGAGATTTCAGGGGGAGAAATTAGCCCATGATATTTGGACCATGACAAATTTGAGATTTTTTTTTCTTTTTCATTTATTATAGTTATATGGGTAATGAAATACTCTTAATTTCACACAGCCTTGCTGTAGAAATTAGTATTTCATTTGTAGTAATCAATCAAATTCATTCAAAAATCCAAGACGTGTTCTTTTTCATTTCAGATACGGATAATGGCTTTAAGTGACAGGAAGCTAGATTAGAAGAAATTTATTAACAGCATGAGCAGTTTGAGAATATGACTAGTCTCCCAAAGACGTGGTTGGCTCTCTTGCAACAGCTTTAATTTGACTTCATGCATAGAGCGGAAAGATGTGATAGCCCAAATTACTACTTTCAACTTTATAAGTTCATTACTTTTTTATGTCTAATTTATGTCAATGAAGTATGCTTTTCTGAAACAATTTATGAACATGTTTTTAGGATTATGAATGGCCCTGAAGTTGTAAGCCACCTAAGATGGAATTTTGTACTTAAATAATACAGGTAGTCCTTGACTTACAACCATGATAGAAATCAGAAAATTTGTCATTAAGTAGTACAGTTGTTAAGTGAGGTATCACATGACTTCATCCAATTTTATGAACTTTTTGTCTCAGTTAAGTGACTCATTTACAGTTCTTAAGCTAGACTTCATGTGACCACAACTTGCAATCTTCTGCTGGTTTCTCAATTGACTTTGCTGGTTGGAAGTTCGCTGGGAAGGTCACAAATGGCACTTACAGGACTCCACGATGCTGCAACCGTCATAAATGCAAGCCAATTGCCAAGCCTCTGTATTGTGTTCATGTAACTCTGGGTATGCTGCAATAGTTGTAACTGTGAGGACCTATCATGAGTCATTTTCAGTGCTGTCATAACTTCTAATGGTTGCGAAACAAATAGTAAACAAGAACTTGTAGGGTTTTTTGCTTTCCAAGATCTGGGCACACCACAGCATAGCAGAAACCTACACAATGCGTTATTGCAACACACACTTTCCCAACAACAGTCTGTTGGTCTGGGTCAACTCCACCTTTCTCGTAATTATGTCTTTAATACTCAATCCTTTATACTCAGTCTTTTAATAATCAGATGAAACAAAAGTCTCAGTCTATCAAGTAGTGTGCAGTCTTTGCCTTCCCGCCAAAGTTCTTGAACTAATTGGGATAGGGTGTTGTTTCATTGTGATTGCTCATTTTCTAGTTGCTGATGAGCTCCAGGCAAAGCTACAAACTCCAGGCAGGATACCCACCAGGGTATGCTGCTCACCATAGGTTATGGTCCTGGCAGTTAAATAATGCAGTAGCTCTCTTGCCTGTGCTTCCTTGTCTGTGCACTGTTTGCTATCACCTTTCCTGCTGCGCATATCCCTCTCTGACTTAGTGTTTGCTTTTCTAAGCTAAGATCTGAGGGGGGTTAGTTTGCCTCTGGACGTCAAGTCAGCACATCCATCAAAATGATAAGGCGTGGCTCAATTATAACAGCTGCTGGAATGCCAGTTTGGATATTTGTGATTGAATGTATGGGGGAAAATGGGTTTCTGCAGACTGCAACTACTCTCCATAAGAGCAGACAGCCACCCAGCTTCATTACTTCACAGGTCTATGTATAAGGAGTTGCGTTAGTATTGGATATCATTGCAGTTTAAGAATTATTGTATAGTAAAAAGTGATGATCACATAGTAGCTACAGTACACAAGTATAGTTTTTAGACTTCATATATGTGCGTTACGCTTTAAATCAAGTTACATTGCTGCTTGTGTAGAAGTTTACTATTTAATAATATGCTTCTGTGTACACTAAATAAGCCTACAAAACTGTAGTTGAATCTCATCGTATCAAATAAAGCAGATGTATCCACATTGGATCTAAAGCATTGAAGGTTTAAGCATTGCATAGACCTTGCTTTTCAGCTTGGCATAACATCAGATTGTTTCTGCTGAGGTCAGAGTAACCTGCTTTGAGCAAGAAAGGACTTGTTCCTGAGATAGTTTGCTAGGCTATAAATTTGTTCAGTTTGTTCCAAGGTTGGAGACATGCCTCTGGCTTCAGACTAAAGAGACTGACATTAGATTCTTCCCACTCTTTCTACATTAGAAACCCAGGAAAGCCCCACCTGCTTTGATAAGAGAAAGAGTATGCCACATTAGATGGAAGGAGAGGAGCCTAAACTCCCCAAAATTAATTGCATACAGCAAGATTTTTTTT